ATTTGTCCCCTTATCCATGAGCTATCAGAAAGGGGGTTTGAGTCAGTCATCCCCCCTTTAATAGTCTAATCTGCACCAAAGGAGTAATTTCTTGTTACTAATAAAAGAAAAAATAAGTAGTCAATGACTTGTTCTCAAGCAGCTGGAGACCAGAGGGTGTGTTGCGTTACACTCTATACGATGGCTTCGCCACCCGACAGGAACCAATCTGGGAGCACCAGAGATTCCATCAGCTCATTTGCTATCTTTGATTTCAGCAACCCCTGGGTGGACTGTGATACTGCAAATAAATTACAGTCACAAAACTGCTTTTGGAGTTTAATTTGGGAACTTCAAAATAGCAAGTGATAATGTACTACTCATGTTATTCAGGAATGTGTTTTAAAGAGAAAGATGCAAGTCAAAAACTGCCAGTTGCTTGTCTTCTCTACCACTCTAGAGTGTCATTTTTCTGTAAATTAAGTGTCTCTCTTCCATTGGCCCATTTTCCCTGATCTCCACCGGGCAGCATTCCCTTTTTGTTGCTAAGAAGGAGGAAGAGAGAAAGCGGCTTTGGTGAAAATAAATTCTGTCCTCAGAGTAGCCATTTCTAGGCATGAGATCTCTTTAAAGGAAACTCCTGACCTCATACAGTTGAAAACGATTAATCAAGTTAGGGTCTAAATATAAGAAAGTATCTACTAGTTACAAGAAATGATACAAGTCATACGGAAAGAGACCAAGAAGACTGAGCAGTGTCAAGACTTGTGTGGAGGGCCAACCTGGTGGTGCAGTGGTTAAGTGTGCATGTTTCACTTCTGGTGGCCCAGGGTTCGCCGGTTCGGATCCCGGGTGCGGACATGGCACCGCTTGGCACACCATGCTGTGGTAGGCGTCCACATATAAAGTAGAGGAAGATGGGCATGGATGTTACCTCAGGGCCGGCCTTCCTCAGCAAAAAGAGGAGGATTGGTAGCAGTTAGCTCGGGGCTAATCTTCCTCAAAAAAAAAAAAAAAAAAAAAGACGTGTGGGGTCTGAGATTTGACCCTCCTGCGAGCTGACAAGTTGGCCTGCTGGCAGAAGACTGGACACGCTGGATCACAGAGAAAAGAGAGTTATAGCAACAGCAGTAGCCAGAGTAGCAACATTTTTGTGTCAGTTTCTCAAGAGCCAATTCCCATAGAGGGATGCAAGGAAGGCAAGGTGACAGCTGCCCATGTAGCGGGTTGCATTAGAGGAGAGAGAACTCTGAGCTTGGGGAATCTGCGTCTTTTATAATGGGCAGTAAGCTCACCTACTCTCTGCTCTAGAGGGAGAAACTATCTCCAGCTTCCAAGGCTGTTTGCTACACATACAAACATACTTGAAAACAATTGTCTGGAACTAAGGCAGTGTCTGCTCACAAACACATAGTAACAAGAGAACACCATGTAAGAATGGTCTCCCAACAACCATGACACTGAATTAAAAATATCTATATAAATGTGATCAAGTGTATATAGCAACAATGATAAAGTGCACTTTTCTTTACCCCCATACGCTTACTAGGACCACCTACCTCTAGAATCCACCCAAACAAGGCGAGCGCAAAGAATGCCACCCAGCAGTGTCATTTAACACCCTACTTGAAGAGCCTGACACTGAAGGAAATATGTATCAGAGATAAATCTGGTCTTATTTATCCATGGAGCCAATAGCGCCAGAAACCACATTTCCAGGACCTGATTTGTAGCTCTTTTTAATATCAGTACTCTACTGAAATGCCCGCCTGGTGGATTGTGATGGGAACACCTGCAGAGCCAAGAGAGGTGGACAACAGTCCAGTCTTATGAAACCAGTTCTTCCCCAGGCAAGACACATCATGGTGGCAGGCGTAGGAATACCTAACAAGTGAAGCGTTTCTGGCACTTGTGTCTGAGTCGGGGTGGAAGGGAATGCCATGAAGTCTGGATGGTTCTTTCTCACTCATAGAAGACCGCAAGAAGCCACCCAATTTTTCACAGGCACGTTACAAACACACAGTAAGGGATACACTGAATCCCAAAGGAAATGGCACTGGCTCTTAGTAATAACTCTCCAGGATCATTTGGGATGAAGTAAATTGAAGTAAGGAGAAAACAGTGGGGGAAATTACTGGTGCCCCTGTCTTCGTCCAATTCGAAAACGGCTTTCACAAAGTTCCAGTTACCACACCCTGAGTTCTTTTGTTTTTTCAGATAGACCACAGACAAGAGGGTCCCCCATCCACAGTATTTCTCACTATGCCCTCTTGGGGCATTTGAGCCATTACAAGGTCCTGAGTCTAGTGACCAAAGACAGGGGTGAAAGGGACAAAGAGGACAAAGGGAGAAAGAGGGGCGGTGGGACAGCATCCCCAAAGTGGCTGCACCCAGGGAAGGTTCCCAAGAAGCAGCGGGAATCCCCAGGATCTTCGATTCAGAAGGAAAAATGAGGTGGTGGTGGGGATGTGCCCCTGAGCTGTTTGCCCTGCCTTTCTCCAAACTGTCGGTCACACGCAGGGTGACTTGCTGAGCAATGCTGGAGGGACAGCAAAAAGAACAACGATCTCAATCCTAGGGGGCTGGGCATGGAGCAGTGACCAGCGCAGAATTAAGCCATGGAGCAAACGTCCGGCTCCCACTTGCAGCCTCTCCTGCATCGTGACAGAGGAACGGTCATCTCCCAGATGCTCTCCCACCTGCTTCTCCAGGTGTGGGCCTAGTGCCGGACTCAGACTGGCTCTCTTGGTGGTGGCCCCTTCAGTCAGTATCCCTCAGTGAAATAGTAGACTTGGCTCAAAAAGAACTCATGTTCCCAACCACTATGTCTTCTTGGAAAGAGCTGAGTGCATGCACATACTCATCTATTGTTGGTAAACTGATTCTGCACGTTGCTCTTTCATGGGGTAGGTGAAAATCAGATATCTGTGTGTTACAGGAATTGCAAAGCACACTATCCTGAGCTGCTCTTCCACCCAATTTTCCTTCTCAGGAAACTGATGAAAGGGTCTTCCATGATCAGGTACTAAGGCCAAGTCCAGGAGCTTTTTGTTCGGAAGAAGGCGAGATGAGCCTGGAAACAGAGGGGCAGCAGCACAGAGCCTGGTGGCCCTACAGCTCAGGAGCAGGGAGCCCCTCGATGCTCAGGACCGAGGAAGAACTGGCAGGTGGCCAAGGACCCCCACCAACCACTGAACCTCCTTGCCCTCACCCCTCGCCCCTCAGCTCGGGGGCCCGGCTCACTTTGGATGCAGCTCCTGCTCGCTCGTGTGGGTGGGACTGCCAGCAAGCCCCCGTGAGAGGCAGGAAAGCCTAAGGATCAAGACGTGTGGAGTCAAAGAGAACCGGTTTGAACCTCAGCTCTGGAACCATGTGACCTCAGGCAAACCGCTCAACCTCTCTAAGTTTATCTTCTCCTCTGGAAAATGAGGAGAATGCAATCTACCTTGTAAGATTAATGTCGGGACTAAATGAGATAGGACATGTAAGCACTTAGCACAGTGATAAATAAATGGGAACTATTAGTATGTGCTAATGTCATAGCTGCCACCTGCTGTAAGAGCACAGACATGGTAGGCTGAGGTCAAACTCGGGCATCAGACTATACACAAATGACCCAGTGGCCCAAGGGTGCGCCACCTGGGGACCTTGAAAAAAGTGTCTAAGTTCTGCTCCTATAGGTTCTGATTAAATCGGCCAGGATTAAGGTTTAGGCTTCAGTTGTTTATGAGGCTTCCAGGTAATTCAAATGTCCTCTCAGGTCTAAGACCCACTATCCAGGCTGGGAAGAAAACAGTTGAGATTTCTTGAGGAATCTTTTATTATTTATTCAATTGGCAAACACTGATCCCTTTGATTGGCCAAGCAAAGGACCAGGTGCTTGATTTCTAAGACCCAGCCCCTACTTCAAGGATCCTAGAGTCTAAGAGAAGAGACAAACAGGTGAACGGACAGTGATAATACTGTGGACGCATGCCATGATGGCGTAAATACTGGAAGCTGTGGATATACTTAGGGGGAGATCTAATCTAGCTCTCCAGATAGAGCCTGTTGGTGGAGAGGGCGTTCCAGACAGAGGCAATACATTTTGCAAAGCCCCAGAGGAGAAAATACATAGAACATCCCAGTTGCCCCAAGGAATTCAGTAGGACTGGACCTTAGTTCAAGGTCAAAAGATGAGGTTGGAGAGGCAGGGACCAATTCCTTGTAAGGAATGTGGAGAGGGTGGAGTTTTAAGTAGGGGCTAGAGGGGTCACAGCTGTCTTTCGAAAGATTATTCTGGCTACTAGGTGGAGACTAGATCAGAGGGAGGCAAGATTGGACATGGGGAGGCCAATTCCAAGATGGTGTCAGCAATCAAGGCAAGATTTAACAAGGGACAGGTGAGAGGTATTAGTGAAGGAAGAGCGTGGTGATCAAGAGCATGATGGGGGCAGGGATGGGGAGTCGGGGCGGAGGTCCAAGCTTGTGGCTCCTGCACTCAGGGGAAGTCAGACCCCGAGTGAGGGAAAGGAAGGAAAGTGGGGTATGTGTTATGTGGTAGGATCAGAGGCCTTTAGAGGAAAAGTTCATTCTTGTTTCATCTGAAGACCATAAGTTGGGTGGGTCAGGCCTAAGAGAAATCCTGCATATTCTGTATTTTTCCATATTCACACGGCACACGGCATTCTAACAATAAATGGAATACCTAATTAATCTGAAATCTTCTTGAGGATTTAGATGGGTAAAAGGGAGTTTTAATTACATGAAAGGAGCATGGCCTGGGAGAGTCTTGGAATAGAAGGCAGTCAAGGCCAGGTGCACAGAGCTTGTCTTTTGTTTCCTTCTCAACCCTGGAATGTGTCCCAAATCTTTGCTTTCACCACCTGACCCAAAGATGCCTCAGGTGAGGGCCAAGATCAAATACCTGAAAACACCTTGAAAATGCAAAGCTATAAATAGGTGTTGGGTACCCTGGTTACAGAGCGTCTGACAAAGGAAAATCATCCTAGTAACATGTTTTGCAAGGCAAATACGTAAGCAGAGTTGTAAGCAGCTCCATTTATTTGAGTAAATAGCTTGTAAATAAATCATTGGTAAACATTACAAAATTAAATACATTTTCCAAAGCTTGCCAGTATACAGAAAATTCACAAACATAGTTCTTTTAAAAAATAAAATATGTTCAGAGCACCCTTGATATAAAACGCCTGACCCTTGTCCTCTGACAGGGCCACCCAGAGACATCTTACAGTAGGTGGGGTTTCTGTGGGGAGGCAGCAGGGGCTCCTGGAGGAAGGAGTTTCTCCTCTGACTTTTTACCCCGCCCACATCCATCTGAATTATGATTCTTCTCCAAGGAGTTGGTGTATAACCTCGAGGGGCAGGGCAGGTGCCCCAGACCCAGCTCCAAGCAAGCGGATTGGGGTGCACAACTAGGATCAGGAGCCAGAGTCCTCACCACATGCCACTGAGCAAAGCCAGAAACGCAACCTCCAGCACTGTTACAAACCAGCGAACGTTCCTGTGTCAATGTTCTTGAGAACAGGTGACACTTTCTCATGTCTGTACCGGCTCAACCCTCAGTTCACCTGCTCTGGTCTGATGCTACCCAGGCACAGAAGTGACCAGAATCTACTTCCAGGGAGGAAGAGATCTAATCTGCTAACTTCCTTATGACCTGCTTTCATGGAGAGAGAATAATACACAGTATTTGACTGAAAGCAGAAAACTAATCGCTACACAGTGCTTCCACTCCCATTGCAAAAGACCACTCAAGTAGCATGGGCGTTTCTCTAGAAATCTGAATAGTTCTTCAAATTAAGGGGTTCATTAAACTTTAAAATACCACAAATGAGGCAATAAGGACATGACCTGGCAAAGCATCCCAACTAATGAAATAATATAAAGTCCATAAATAAGCCCTTGACCAACTCAACGTTTTTGTAGTGTAGCTCATGAAAATAAGGGATACACAGAATTCATTCACTTTGGTGCATAAAGTGAATGTTGAAGGTCAGCAGCACTCGCATGAAGAATGGCTAGTGGCCTTTTGAAAACACACGTGCTGTGACCTCCAATTAAAGGACGACCACAAGTTTAGTCCACCCATGTGAAATAAAACTCACATCTACATTTAACTTACTCGTGTGTAGATATATACAAGTACGAGAAATTCCACATGAGGCAAATGTACAACCAAAGAAAAAAGTATTACCAACCAGTTGTAAAAAACCATCATCCCTGTATAGTTAGGTCCTAAACCTCTGATTTCTAGAAGAAAATGCTGCCTGGCCCAGCCCATCCTTGGAGGTCTGCCTGGTTTGATAATCCCAGTTGGGCTGAAACCAGAGTAGTGATATCTTTGTTATTAAAATATTACACTAACAAAAACGTTTAAAAACAAAAAAAGGAACACTCTTCAACTGATGTCTAATAGATGCCCTCCCGCCAAAAAAACGTTGCTCATAACTCTTCTTTAATAAAAGTCTTCGAGAAGTCCAGATCCCAGGGCCCTTGCTTGGTCTCTGGGAGAGTTCCGCCCTGGGCCAGAATTATACGGTCTTCTTCTGCGGGGGGTTCAGTTTTCTCATGCCTCTTATCCGAGAGAGCAGCTCCTTGATAAATTCCTAAAAGAGATGAGAAGAAGTTAACATGAGGAGGTCACTCTATTAAAATTGGGGTTTAAAAATCTGCTTGAAGTAACTGATGTCATCCGCTATTAATCTTAGCTGATGAGCTTGGTTGGACGTGTTAACCCCAACGGGTACAATACAGGAAATTCAGACAAATGAAGTGTTCAAAGTTCATACCACAATGCCTTCTACTGCTGTGCTACTGTCTTTAGGAGAAAACCAGGCTGCCCTCACTCACTGATATTATCTACTTGGCCCCTGAAGGCACATGTGGTTCACGTAAGTGTTTCTCAACCTTTGATAAACCTTTAACACCTGCATCTCAATCACCCAGGGGACACGTAGAGTCTGACTTAGTAGTTCCGGGTCGGGGCCTGAGAATCTGCATTTCTGGCTAGATGCCAGGTGATGCCAGTGTTAGTCTCAGGACCACACCTGGAACAGTGAGGCTGGGCCAGTGGTACTCAGATTTGAATGTACATCAGCAACGCCCCAGGGACTTATTAAACCACAGAGCGCCGGGCCCCACGCCCAGAGTTTCTGATTCAGTACGGCCGGCGGGGGTGGGGGGCCTGAGAATTTGCTTTACTCATCAGCTCCCACGTTGCTGCTGGTCCCAGGATCCTGCTGAGAACCACAGGTCTAGAGCACAATGAGTCTTTTGACTGCAAATCATAATTAAAAACACACACAGAGACACAAGTTTTACATTTACAATCCAGTACACACAATCACACACCTGAGATACAAATTTAAAGAATGAATACTTGCCCTACCCAATAGACTCTATATTTCTATTCCATTCTAATTTCATTGAAAAGGTCATGCTGGGGGAGACTCACTAAAGTGACCCCCCCACCTGCTCATGGATGAGAACCCAAAGCCTGGAGAACAATCTAGAATGGTTCCATTTATACCATCAGAAATCTTTCACTGCTGCCTTGTGTTTTAAAATATTTGGCTGCCAAATAAGTCACATTTATTAGATAATAATAACCTTAGCTTCCTATTTTCTATTTGTCAAAGACAAAGCTGACAGCCAGTCAGACTCTTCGATCAGCAAGTGACAGGTGGTAAATGACAGAACTGAGCAAAAACACTAAGGGACCTTCCTCTCCACTGTGGCCTTCTGAAAACAGCTCTCAGACAATCTCGCCCACCAGTCGCAGCCCTTAGCGTGAGCTCCCAGACTAAGCGAACCCTGAAACTACGCTCCAGCTCTCCAACACAAGATTAAATATTTAATATTTTGTTAGCCACTACAATTTCTTTCCTTTATATAATCTCTTTGCCATTATAAAAGTAACGTGCTTTTTCTAGAAAACACAAACCAGCAATAATTATTCCTCAGAATGAACCACTATTAACACATTTTCTTCTATGAAAATTATTTTAACCTTATTAAGATCATACTATATAAATATATCCTTTTATTTTTACTTAGCCTTATGTCAAAGCTTTTTTGCACATTAAAGTCCTAAAAATTAATTTTAATAGTTATATGATCCTTTATAGTATGGATTTCCTACACTCTGCTTAATTCTCTCATCACTGGATATTTGGTAGGTTCACAGCTTTTCAAAATTATAAACAATGCCATAATTAACATCTTTGTGCATAAATCTTTGTCTGCAATTTAGATTATCTCCTTTAGAGAGCTATCCAGAAGTAGGTCAAAGGACAGAAACATATTAATCACCACCATTTCTGACACTTGGACAGAATGGAATATATGAGAAGTAAAATGAGGCCCTATTTTAATTTTATGAACACTATTTTACCTAATTTAAAGAATCTTCTAGGATGAAATAATGCCCAAGTTTCCACTTACATTCACTTTTTATTTCGAAAAGTTAAGTGCATTTCCTATGGCCCCTTTTAATATGTGGTTTATGCTGCACAATTTCAGTTTCATTGTTTTTGGAATCGGTTACTCAAATGACTGCTCTGACAAGTTTCAGCATTTGAGTGTAGATTTCTTTTCTTATTTTTTATTTTTTTTTAAAGCAAAGGTCAGAATTACAAATGCTATCATTTATCTTGTTAATAACTCTGGTAATTTTTCTGCACTACTTCAATAACATTTTTCATCAAGATCATGATAAAAATAAAGACTAAAATCAAATAAAGAATAATGTACCTTAAACTATGGACCTTTCTTCTTCAAGACAAAAGTAATTTGGTAATTTAAATCAAATTCAAATTTTCTCAAAAAATTCGTCGTGATGTGCATAATCTCAGTGATTAAAATGTTTAAATAAATAACTCATCTTGTATTTATGATATATTAACATTAATGAAAAACCTAATTTTAAATTTTACGTTAGCATAATTTCTATGTCTATAATGCAATATAGTGTATTGTGCATATTTTAAACTGTTCATTAAAATTTGCATAACGAGATACTTAACTGAGTAAGTCAAAAAAGAGCAAGATCAATATTTATTCTCCAGGAAGAAACTTGACAACACCACTTGCAACAGAAAGATTTTGTTGGTTTCAGATGATTCTCAAAGAACATTCAGGGATCTCTAAGCAAAAATACTGATTGATGGCTCTTGGTTCACGTTACTCAAAAATACTCAAGGTAAGTAACAACATATCCCATTTACTTCCAAAACAGATGACCCAGACTTGGGTCAGGGACACTAATTTTATCAGAGAAGGGCTGCCCCTTTGAGGAAAGGGGCAACTGAATTGAGACCTGAATTAACAAAGAGAAGCCAGCTTGGAAAAGATCTGGGGGATTGGGTTATGCGCGAATGCAGAGCCATGGAGAAAATAGCAAGACAGCGGGCATTGCTGGTGTAGGAAGGCCAAGGTGAGCATGGGGGGGAGCCATGCTGGAGGTCAGCTCGCCAGGCCGTGTTGGCCACAGTAAGACAAGGAGAGACCATTCTTGGTACAATGGAAAGCCACTGGCGGCTTTTAAGTAGAAGTGCAACATCATCTGATTGAGGTTTTTAAAAGATCCCTTTGGCTGCTGTGCTGTGGAGAATGGGTCTTACGAAGACAAGGATGAAAGAGAGAGCAGTCTGCAGCTGCGGCAGCGGTCCAGGCAAGGGATGCGGGAGGCGTAGAGTAAGTTGATGGAAACTGAAATGGAAATCAAGGGGTAAATTTGGGATCCATTTCAGAGGCAGAGCCAACAGACCTCGTTGCTGGACTAAAGGTGGGGGTAGGGTACAGCAGGGAACGGGGACAGGAAGGAGGGAAGGGAATTCACATCACCGTTCTCATCAGAAGAACACTTGAAGAAAGGTGGGGCCATTTGTTGAAACGGGATAATAGGAGGAAAAAACCCCCAAACAAAATAGATTTACAGATACGAGATGCCTGCTAGACATCTGAGGGGCGATATCAAGGAGACACATAAACATGACTTCGGGTCTCAGCTCATGGCTGAATGCATAAATATGGGCATCACCAACACAGGTCGGTGGCTTTCCACTAAAAAAACAAACAAAAAATTAAAATACCACGTGTGACCCACACATAGTTATAGCAACCTAGTAGAGATACAAGGCTGAAACTAAAGTTTCATGAAAAAAATATAACTCTTACTATAGGTAATACTTCTTGATACTTTTTATTCTATCTTATTTTGAAAGAAAAACAGGTCATGACCAGGTAATAGGTTACCACCCATAGTTTACAAACACAACGATCTACACCCGGGCCGTTCAATACAGTAGCCATTAACCACATGTGGCTATTTAATTTTAGATTAATTAAAATAAATAAAATTTAAAATTTAGTTCCTTCATCACACTAGCCACATTTCAAGTACTCAACAGCCACATATGGCTGGCGGCTACCATATTGGACAACGTAGACAGAGAATATTTCCATTATCTCAGAAAATGTTATTGGACAGCGCAGATAACAAGGCTCTGAATTGCAGGACTAGATGAGATAACTTGGAGGAAAGTGTCAATAGAGAGGAAAACAAGGCCAAAGACCAAGGCCGGAGGCCCTCTGACAAGTGAGGTCTGGTAGAAGTGTTGGAGGCAGCAAAGGAGACTGAAAAAGAGAAACCAGTGAGATACGGGAAATCTCAAGAAGTCAAGAGAAGAAAGTGTTTCTAGAAGGAGGAGGTGCTCAGTGAAGTCAAGTGCTGTAAGAGGTTAAGTCAGTCACAGAGAGAGACAAAGCCATTAGATTGGGAAGAAAGAGGCCATTGTGTCCAGGATGAGAGACACTTTAGCAGAATTGTTGGAACGGAAGTCCCCACCCCTAAAAGGTTCCCAGTGTCCTTTTGTTTTGTAAACAGTTTTATTTAAAGTATAACTGCCATGCTATAAACTGCATATATATAAAGTATACAGGGGCTGGCCCTGTTGCCGAGTGGTTTAAGTTCGCGCGCTCTGCTTCGGAGGCCCAGGGTTTCACTGGTTCGAATCCTGGGCGCAGACATAGCACCGCTCATCAGGCCATGCTGAGGTGGCATCCCACATGCCACAACTAGAAGGACACACAACTAAAAATGTACAGCTATGTACCGGGGGGCTTTGGGGAAAAAAGGAAAAGTAAAATCATTAAAAAATAAAAAAATAAATAAAGTATACAACCACCACAAGTGTACCATCTGCACAATCAACATAAAGGACATATCCATTCTTCCAGAAGTTTCTTCATGCCCCTTTGCAATCCCTCTCTTTTCCCCCTGCTCCTCTCATCTCCCACTCATCCCCATTGCCACCTCATGCCACTGTTAGATTAATTTGCATTTTTTAGACTTTCATATAAATAGAATCATGACACTAAGTATTTCTTAATCTGGCTTCTTTCACTCAGGATAATAATTTTGAGATTCAGCCATATTGCTGCATGGGTTAATAGTTATTCCTTTTTTTATTGCTGAGTAGCATTCTGTTGCTTAGAAGTACCACATTTTGTTTATCCACTCACCTATTGACAGAAATTTGGGTTGTTTCCAGTTTGGGGCTATTACAAATAAAGTTGCCAAAAAAATTCATACAAAAGTCTTTAT